GACATACTGTACATCTGTAGTATTAAAATTTAATGGAAGGGGAGAAGCAATTAGGGAAAAATGGCTTTTTAGGGAGATGATGTGTATAATTCAGGTGTTCCATGTATAGTCATCTGCCATATAACAACATTTCAGTCAATCAGGGATTATTTAAACAATGGCGGCCCCATGAGATTATAATATTGTATTTTTATTGTATCTTTTCTATGTTTAGACATACAAATATTTACCATTGTGTAAAGTAGCCTGTACCATCTAGGTTTGTGTAAGTACACGCTATAACATTCATACAATGACTAAATTGTCCAATGTCTCATTTCTCAGAACATATCCTCGTTGTTAACCAACACATCACTGTAATTTGAGTCTGTGTTTCATTTAAGTTAATGCCATCCATGTGTTTTTATTAAATAACTTACTTAAACCATCAAGTGCCAGTGACTGGAATTTGAGTAATTTGAGTCTGTGTTTCATTTAAGTTAATGCCATTTATATGTCTTTATGACAATAACTTACATAAACCATCAAGTGTCAGTGATTGGAGTAGGGACTCTCAATCCTTTGTTTGGAGCATTCAGGAAACCAGCCAAGTGAAGAAAAATAGAGCTAAAAATAGAGCTAAAAAACATATTTAGCTCCTGTCTCTCTGTATTTCAACCATATTCAATTGTCTCAATGCATTATGGCTCCTTCTACCTTGGACTGGTATTTCCAGAAATACCCTCCCCAGCTCACTTTACTTGTGTAACAGTTGCCCAAGAATACAAGATTTCAAGTCAAATATGCCTCCCTCAGGGAAAACCTTCTTAGCCACTTAGTCTAGATTAACTCTCAAGCACCCTTATTACACAACCTTATAGCTTCCTGTGCTGCTTCTCCTTTGTTTTTATGGTGTACAGTGTGTGATGTTTTGATACATATATTCTGTGGGAAATGATCTTATTTTCTGTATTCTTTCTTGATGCTCTGGCATCTGGGGCATTGCTAACCCTGGAGATGCTGCCCCTCCCAGGGCTAGCTGATTCCTAGAGATAGCAATTGCCTCCCCTGTGAGCGGCCATTTATATGCAAATCAACCAGTCCAGAACCCAAATTCACCAACTACCTCCTTTATTGAGCTCTTACAAGTTGAACTAATATTATTCTGCCCTTATCACTCCAGGACCAGATACCAGAGAGCTCCTACACCTCAGAGTCCCATGAAATTATTCAAACTAGCCAATCTTAAGCATGCCTCTTCTGCTTACTCTGCCTAGACCATTTCTCCCAACAAAAACCATAATAAAGGCTCTCACCCATGCTTTTTCACCCTCACTCCTTCTGACTCCTGACCTAAGACCTTGGTGCTTCCCCATGTGGCCAGGTGGCCCTTCCCCACGTTTCCCCTCCTCCTGGGAGTGATGAGTAAAACACTGTCTTTTCAATGGCAACCATCTCCTGATCTGGTTGGCCTCACCATACCTGAACAAAAACAAAATCATAAGTACATTTTAAAACAGGAAGATTCCTTAACCACCTAGAGCACAGATGACACCAGGTATTTACCTAATGCTTTAAGGGTGACAGAAGCAACAGAAGCCAGAGTGGCCTGCACAGCTATTATAAGAAGTCACTCTTGCAGCACACGATGGGATCTAATCCTAGGGGCCAAGTACAGCCCCACAAATTTCCACGTTGTGGGAAGCAGCTTAACCCCTATCCACAAGACTCTCTGGCCTCCCAACCCTTCCATGTCCTGGCCCTCAACTATTTTTTTTTTTCCTTTTTGAGACAGAGTCCCAGTTTTCTTTTTGAGACAGTCACCCAGGCTGGAGTGTAGTGGCACGAACATGTCTTAATACAGCCTTTACCTACCAGGCTCAAGTGATCCTCAAGCCTCAGCCTCCAAAGTAGATGGGACTATAGGCATGCACTACCATGCTTGGTTAATTTTTGTATTTTTTGTGGAGATGGGGTCTCCCCATGTTGCCCAGGTTGTTCTTAAACTCCTGAGTTCAAGTGATCTGCCTGTCTCAGCCTCCCAAAGTGCTGGGATTACAGCCATGAGCCACCACGCCTGGCCAGTGGTCCCCAATTCTTTTGGCTGACTGAGAGAAGGGGGCCCTCATGTTTTACTCCAGGATGGTCCATCTTGGGAATATCTTTGAGTTGTCTTTTAAGTAGAAAACACTTTATCAAACTACAGAGTGACTTTCATGGCCCTGATGAAACAGTCATAATAGCTAATGCTACATTTTCCCAGTAGTTGAGTTCCTCAATATTAAATAGCACTATGTACAGAACTCCAAAATTTTAACCTAATTTGATATTTAGGAGAAAAAAGTTAATCTATGTCATCCAGAGAACAGTCCTATTAAAGCCACAATATGTTCACAGTACTACAAAGATCATACAATAGGTTAACCAACTGCCCTGCATTTAAATTTTTTATGACTTCGGTGTTTTCTCTGCAAAAAAAAAAAAAAAGGATATTTTATATTTGTTAATCTAAGGAATTCATGTCAGTAATTTTCTCAAAGTAAAGTAAGTCTGCTGGGAAGTCAAAGCCTCTGTCTCCAGAATGATAAAACTGCCAGCCACTTCCAAACAGAAGTTCTCTTACTTACAAAGGAAATGAGAGTTCTGTCTCTACCAGGAACCCCTCTCAGGGGTAGGGACTTGAAGTTAACCTTGGTGATTCTGAGGAAACCACCACGAGCTTCTCTATAGTAGTTATAGAAAACCCACTGGACTTGAGGACACCAGAAGCCCTCATCCACATGAGTGCAAACATATTGTGTGGAGAAATGAGCTCTGCTCTGCGCTTGCAGAGATGGTGGATCTGGTAACTGAGTCGATGCCTCTACACACCTGTTGCTTCTTGGGAGCGCTGTGGTGTCTGTATCTCAGTACATGTTAGATTCCTTCTATGTGTAATTACTAGCTCTCTGGGTGTTGCCACTGGGCCATTGTAGCAGGTAATGCAGAACTGAATGAAAACAAGTGCAAGAGGGGCATGCCAGCATGCCAGAGGAGCAGCTGGGAAAGGACTCATGCCTCATGCCAGAGGAGGAGCTGGAAAAGAACTTGGAAGGGTGATGTTCCAGACCTGGGGTTGATAGAGACTGTTTCACTGAGGTTCTAATTATTATATTATTATTCACTACCTCATCTTTCTGAACCTCAATGATCATACTAGTAGTAATATAAGTCCAAATTAATTTTTTAATGGGCAGAGCTAACTCCGCCCCTACTACTAGGAAGATCTTTTTGTTAAGTTAACAAAGAGGACGCCAACCAGCCTGGAGTGTCTACCCAGGGAAACTCTATTGAGCCGTATCTGCTTTCAGCAAATGGTTGCACTTAGAAAGGAATTATTACATTTATTAAACTAATACTCAGAGAGCAGTAGACATGAATTCAACACACACAAGTAATGTAAATTGAATACCTCACTTTAAGCCTATAAGTTCATGTACAGGTCACTATAATTGCCATTTATAATCCAAGGGCAATACTTATACACTTTTGATGATTCCTTGGGAATTATCTGTAAAAGCTCTAGATTTTTAATTTTTGGCTATTTGGTGTACAAAGATTTTAGGTACTAATTTAAAATCCTAGTAACTATTAGGTAACAAGACCTTGAATTTTAAAATTGCATACTCAGATTCAAGTATGAATTTGGATTTGTGTGATCTAAAATGCAAGTATATTCCTTTGAAAACTGCATAATTGTGAGAAAAGTGCAGACCAAACCCATATTGAGGGACATTTAGCAAAATAACTGGCTTATACTCTCTAAAACTGTCTAGGTCAAAGCTTCCTCAGGTATGGTTCCAAATTAAAGGAGGCTAAGGGGACAGGACAACAAAAGGTCATGCATGGTTCTCAATTGGCTCCTTGGACAATTGATGAAATCTAGATATCGCTAGACTTAAAAATAGTATTTTCTCAATATTAATTTTCTAATTTTAATTAATTCTAATTAAAATAAATTTTAATTAAAATTAATTATATATGTGTGTATATATACGTATATTATATATATGTGTGTATATATACACACATATATTTTTATATATACACACATATATATGGATAGAGAGAGAGAAAGAGAATGATAAAGGAAATATGGTAAAACAGGAATATCTGGGTAATTTGGGTGCACCTGAAATTTTTTGTATTGTTTGCAACTTTTCTGAAAATCTGAAACAATTTTTGAAACTCACTCACCAACAAGTCTCCTGCTGTTCTAAATAGTCACGAAACAGCATATCCGCACACCTGGCAGCAGCCTGCTCTCTGCCTCCCTGATTTATTCACAAAGCATTAAAAAGTCCTTTCCCCATTTTCCTGCTAGTACTGTAGGCCAAGTTTATTACTGACCTCCCTGACACATAATATTTTTTCCTTTCTCTGTCATCCATAGAACTGAAAACTCCCTGTTGTTTCGAAGATAATCTCTATCAGACAAAGCATTAGTGCCTCTTTCTGTTTAAGGTTGTTGGTCTACAGGGGGCAGAATTCCAAAAAGATTTGGGCTTTGTTGTTCCACTAACATCCCCCACACACATAAATCCAACTGTATGAGGAAAAAAATTGTTCCTAGATAAGAAGAAAAACTCATTTTTAAATCATGACAAATAATAAAAGAAGAAATAGAAAAAAAAAAGAAAAGAAAAGAAAAGAAGAAGCCTGAACTACCATCCATCTGGCTCCAGGAGCACAGGGCTTTGAATCTGAGGAAATCTAAATGAGGGCTCAGAGCCTCTCCCTGGGCTCGTACAATTTCCAAACATTAGCAGGAACATTCCAGGTGGCTCCCTGCCCACATCAGAATAAACGTGGTATCCTCTGTTCTTGTTTTCTCCATCCTTGTATGTCCTCCCCATCTTGACTATTCTTACAGAAAGTTTTCCCTGGGATATAATGAAATGGCCCATACAAAAATGTACACTTGTCACTTAAAGATGAAAGTATAAAATGAAGTAAAATAAAAACCAATGGAATCCTCTTACCTTCAAATAGCAGTTGTTGTGTGAAACAGATTCCGCGTCTATACCAGGTCCCTAAGGGTTTGAGCCTACCTCAATGCATGCAGAATATATAGGGAGAGGTTATAGATCTGGGTTTTTCATTACACAAGGTGTTTTTGATGAGTCCTCAGCGAAGATCCACTTAAAAACAAAAGCTACACAAAGACTACAAAAAGGCCACACAAAGTTTAAACAAAAGGCTAAAGAAAGAGCAAACAAAAGCCAAAGAAAGTTTAAACAAAGAGTGAAACAAAGACAAAACAAAGGGCAAACAAAGACAAAAACAAAGAGCAAAAGAAAATCTAAACAAAAGCTAAGCTAAACTACAACCATATTACACACACACACACACACACACACACCCCAGATTCACTGTACAGCCCCCCAACATTCATGTATTCCAGCCTCCCACCTCCCACATCCCACATAATCAACATCCCACGTGAAAACTCACCCCTCAAAGTTCATTCCACACAAACTCCAGTTAAGTTCCATGCCAGGTCCAACCACACCACACACCAGCTCACCCCACCAAACCACATACCCTTCCACCAACATGCTACACCACCACATGTTGCAATCACATTGACAAATTCCAGGAGTTTTTATACTCCATGTAGATTAAATAACCATCCCCACTTCCTTCCCTAAAACACTCATGTATACCCAGAGATACACCCCAAAACTAACATTCACACACGCATGCCCTTGTACACTTGATTTAGCAAGAGTCTAATGCAGCCCAGTTACAACTAACATTGAATTTGGGAGTTTCCATGACAATTACCCTATGCATTCACATTTATAAAAACATGTATAAATCATCTCTCATGTTGAATAGTTTCTGCAAATGATGAATCTCATTAAATTCACAGTTTATTGGCTTCAGTCTTAGACACTGGCATTTCCTTATAATGTTCCTAAAATGTGGAGCCACACCTTTCTGTGCTCTGTTAAATCCCAGCAGTCCTGTAATTCTGCTTCTGCTATTTATTTTATATATGTAGAACTACCCACTAATAATTTGAAAGATGAAAGCTTACTTCTGAAACCAATCCAACCAACAGCAGCCTTGCCTTTTGGATTCCCAGAGCCCCCTGCATGACAGTGTAATATAAATGTCAACATTACCACCAAGTTGCTCTTTAGGCTCTTGTCTCAGTAAAGAATCAGCCAGGGGGTCTTGAAGAGGTAATCCAGTGAGACTACAAACATTGACCATAAATCTCTCTGTACAATAACATTTTTGTTTTTGTTTTTGTTTTGAGATGGAATCTGGTTCTGTCCCCCAGGCTGGAGTGCAGTGGCACTATCTCAGCTCACTGCAACCTCCACCTCCCGGGTTCAAGCTATTCTCCTGCCTCAGCCTCCTGAGCAGCTGGGACTACAGATGCCCACAACCATGCCTGACTGATTTTTGTATTTTTAGTAGAGACAGGGTTTTGCCATGTTGGCCAGGCTGGTCTCAAACTCCTGACCTCAGGTGATTCGCCTGCCTTGGCCTCCCAAAGTGTTGTGATTACAGGCTTGAGCCACCGCGCCCGGCCTTTTCATACACTGACTTTATAGTTAGTTAAACATTCTTTCTCTGAGTAAATGAGTTACAGACGTATGCTGATTGATTCACTCCCACTGTGATGCCAGTATTTTGCTTGTGTTGTATTGACTGTGACTGGGGGCTGGGGAGTAGGGTAGGATGGTTTAGAGTTTGAAATCTGGAGGCCCTCACACTGGGATCATCACAGGACCCACCTCAAGGATTTGAGTGAGGACTAAATCAGTTGATATGTTTGCACTGGTGGAAAGAATGCCTGGCACACAGAGTCCTGCACCAATGCAACTCTTACGGCCGTGGCCCTAAAGAAGGTTACCAACAGAGGCGGGTGGCAGTTGTAAGGATTTGTTTTCTATTCACAAAATAACAAGACTAATTCAGGCTATTTAAAAAATACAAGATCCAGTAGATATATTACAAAACTCTATCTTTATTAAAGACCCTCTGCTTCTCAAATCTTTCCAACAAAAGTTCTTAATGACACATTTTGGGGAAGTCCCATCTTTGATCTTCTACTCCACCATACACAGGGTGATATATAATTTATGCAACCCAACTATGGAGATTTCACAAAATGCTCGTAATGCCATCTCTTTCTATTTCTACTTAAATGTTAGTGCTTGCCCTTAGTGCGGTGGCACTCTCACTCCCAGAACCACTGGGGAGGCCATGTCTGAGTCAGTGTCACTCTTCTTGAATGGCAGCCTGTGTTCCACATAGAGCAAGACCTTCTAGGACTCACAGTCACAATTAAGAAACTTGCTAACACTGCAGAGGATTTTCCCACAGAAACTTTGGCTACAGTTGACAATCCCCACATGTTATGAATTAAAATGTGTCCCATCCCCCATCTCTCAAATTCCTTTGTTGGAGTCCTAACCCCTAGTGTCTTAGAATTTGGAATGAGGCCGGGTACAGTGGCTTGCGTCTGTAAGCCCAGCACTTTGGCCAGGAATTTGAGACCAGCCTTGCCAACAGGGCAAAACTCTTTCTCTACTAAAAATACAAAGAAATTAGCCGGGTGTGGTGTCATGTGCCTAATATTACAGAGGATTTTAATTCCCAGCTACTCAGGAGGCTGCGAATTGAGAATCACTTGAACCTGGGAGGCAGAGGTTGCTGTGAGACAAGATTGCACCACTACACTCCAGCCCGGGTGACAGAGCAAGACTCTGTCTCCAAAAAAAAAAAAAATTTGGATTCAAATAAGGATTTGAAGACAGACCACAGAGGTGATCAAGTTACGAAGTCGTTAGGGTGGGCTCTGATGCAACATGACTAGTGTCCTTACATGAAGAAGTTTGAACAGAAAGACACATTTGGAGGGAGGACAGTGTGAAGTCATGGGGAGACGATGGTCATCTACAAGCCAAGGAGGGACGCCTGGAACAGATCCTTCATTCACAGTCCTCGGAAGAAACCAGCACTGCCCACACCTTGACCTCAAACTTCAAGTTTTGAGAACTGTGAGACAATTCATTTCTGTTGTGTACGTCACCCAGTTGGTGGTACTTTATTTCAGCAGCCCTAGCAAACTAATACGCCACAATGACAATAAGTACTATTTTAATTGGTTTCTACATTTATCAAAATAGCACTTGTGCAAAGTTATAATAATATTAAAAGGCTTATGTTGGAAAACAATAGTCCCTTGTGCTGCCTCACCCCACTCAAAATCCCAGCCACCAGAGGCAACCATTTAAAACTTTTTTTTAGCTATCTTTTCTCTATTTATTTCCATATACTAAGTAATTCACACCAATAGCCATTTATATACCTATTTATGGTAGGTTATTGGCTTCCTTTTAAGGGTGTAGTTTTCTTACATTCTACTTTTTCCTCTCCCTTTTCCCTTACCTACTGAATGTAGTTAGTTAATATTTATATTATTATAAATATGTAAATATTCTCTCCTACAGAACCTTGTGATTAACTACGATTGTTTCCTTTCTTTGTACAAATTTCTTGTTCCTGGAATTAATAATCACCCCATTTTTAATTTTATTCATTTATTTTAATCTGCTTAGTTTTAAATTTTACACTTCATCATTTTTTCCAAATATTCCAATAGATCTGTCAACTATCTGCTAATAAATTCTAAGCATTCCAATATACTGAATGATCTTTCACATCTATTGTCTTCTGTAATCCTCTGTCATCTCGTTCAGATTTCAGGCTGGTTGCTCTCTAGACTCGACGCAGGCCTGGGTCTTCCCTTCATTGCTTTGCTGGAAAGAGATCACCTTGTCCAGGATCCCATGCCATCCTCACCTTTCCGAAGCATGCCTTACAATACCTTTCCTAGAAAGAGTATATATTAAGGGAATTTTTTCAAGTGTTTGTGTCCCTGAAAACTCCTTTACTCTGCCCTCATACTTGATTGCCTGTTTGTGTATAGAATTCTAAGTTGAAAAGTATTTTCCCCTAGAAAAATGATGTGGATGATACATTGTTTTTTTGTATCTTCCCCTCCAGTGTTGTTTTTGAGAAGTTCTAGACCTTTCAGATGCCCGTTGCTTTTTCTGTGATTTTCTTCTAAGCCTCTGGAAATGTTCAAGATCTCATTTTGACCCCAGTTGTCCTGAAATTTCATCATTCAATGTGAATGTTTTTTCGTCCCCACTTGGTGGAGCATTTTCATCTGGAAATTCATAAAATTCCACTCCAAAAATTCTTCCTTTTTGTTGTTGGTTTTGTTAATTTATTTTTCTCCATTCTCTTTCTTGTTTCTTGAATTTCTGTTATTTGGCTTTTGAACTATCTAAATTGATCTTCTAAATTGTTACTCATTCTTCTCTTTCCTAGTTTCCAATTCTTTGACTTCTTGTTTTATCTCTCATGAAGTTTTCTTATTTTATTTAACCATCTTTTTGAATTTGATACTTCATTTTGACAATTACATTTTTAAATTTCAAGACTTCATTCTTATTTGCTGACTTTTCTTTTTTCAAAGCACATAGCATTTTCTGTAAACTAGGAAACTAGCAAAACAGTAACTACCACACTGGGCGATGTTGCTTGGTTTTGGTTTTCTTTGTGTCTTTGTTAGTTTTGCTTTGCATTGAATCGTTTTGCTTACTCCACGTTTCTTCATCCTGGTTATTTGTTTCCATCTCTCCCCTTCTAACCAAAAGTTGTCCTCTTTATCTGGTGATCTTTCACTGTCCATTACTGCTTAATAGCCATTCAAGAGAGGACTGGAGGCTCCAGGCACAAGGATGGGTTCGATGCTGGGGAATGCCGCAGGCACCCATGTTCGCCTTTACAACAAGGAACCTAGAAATATAAGTAGCTGGAGGATTTTTCCATAGAGTCATTCAGTTTCTTCAATGAAAAGCCATCTGTTTTTCAGCCTGACAGGGGCAGGGAAGATACAGAAGTTTGAACACCATGCTATTGATATTCTGCTCAAAGTAGACAAGGGACCTGAGGGACCCACATGAGTGTTCCTCACTGTTCCTGAATCAGGAAATTTCTCCATAATAAAC